GCGCCCCTTCTCCCTCCCGGGACAGCAGAGTCCGGCGCAGTCTGAGATACAACGAACAATGGGACTGTGACACAGGGGTCGCTCTCCCGGCGGCAGGGCGGCTCTTTGTCCCCTACCCTGCCCCCTGCTCCTTCTCCCCCCATCTCCACCCAGGTCCCCTGCCGGAACTCGCGGAGGGGCTGCGTCTCCACTCCAGCCCCGGCCTGTGGCTCTGTCGTCCGCGCACGGGGAGGGCCAGGGCCTCGCCCGCCGTGTCCCGGAGCACTGTACCCCTATTCCTTGCCCCGAGGGGACGAGGGCGCCAGGAACGTGCCCCCGCCCCGAACGGCGCTCAAAGCACCACTCCCCGCCCACCCAGCCGCCGGTCCCGGGGACTCCGGGGAGAATCTGCGATTCGCGAGGTGAAGACCGCTGGGGACAGTGGAGAAAGGTCTCCCACTGGGACCTTAACACGGGGGTTGCAGGGCGCCGAGCCGGCGGCAGAACCCCCTCCCAACCGCAGCCTCGCCCCTTCCCACAGCCTGTGAGTCTGCCTCGTTATCCCCGTGTCCCCGAAGAGCATTTACGTCTCGTCTGCTGAGAGCAGAGGGGAGGGGGGTGTCGGTCCCCCAGGACCTGCAAGGAGATAAAACCCGCGCACTCGACCGTGAGCAGCCACAGCCGGGAGCGCGCGCCCGCGCCGCAGCTGATGTCCCCATTTACAGTCGCTCAGCCATTCACCCGACAACCGCGTTCGCAGCGCCTACTGTAGGCCAGACCTGTTCTAGACTCCCAGGGGTTTCTGCAGGGGGCGACCGCAGAGGCCACGGGCCTCTGTGGGGAGAAACGGAGAAAAGATAAACAAATTAGATAGCTGTGAGACTGTGGTAAGTGCTGTGCAGGGGATTCAGACAAGCTGCTGTCACAGAAAGTGATAATCAGTCACTTTAGATCCCATGGTCGGGGAGGACCTCTGAGGAGGTGCATCTAATCTGAGATCTGAAAGTAAAGAAGGACAAAGATAAAGAAGGGCGCTCTAGGTGGAGGGACCAGTTAGCACAGAAGCCCTAGAGTTGGCCTGTTAGTGGAAGGCCAGTGTGGCTGGGAATGGGCCAAGGAAGAGGGGTGAGAGATGAGACCACAGGGGACAACTCCTGCCTGATTCTCAGGTAGCTAGGAAAGCAGTGGGCAGTTAGCAGGAAGCGGTATGACCTGATTTACCTTTTAAGAGACTCACTCTAGGCCATATGTGGAAAAGGGATTGGGGGTGAGGGGCGTGCACAGAAGTGCAGAGTCAGTACCTCCTTCCCCCCACTCCCATCCACCCCTCTCTGCAGGTAGATGTTCAGGAGAGGGGGGTGGGAAGAGCATAGGCCTGAGGGGCATAGCTTTGAGGATTAAGCCCAGGGGAGCGGATGTTCCCCCAGACACTGGCCCTGGTAAGCCAGCTCCTGGCTCCTGGGTGGAGGGGCCCTTCTCCCCGCTGGGGCGCTGTGCTCCACAGGCCCAGCTGAGTTTGGGTTTGGAGAGGAAAAGGGTTTCAGCTTATACTTGGGGATGCGGGGCGTCCTCACCCCAAGAAGCCAGATTAAACAGCTCCCTGGGGCTCCCCGCTCCCGATGAAGCCTGTGCACAGACCTGCTCCTGGGAGAATCAGAGGTGAGCACGACACATGGCTCACTAGGGAAGTCTCGGGCAGGGTTAGCACTGCACTTGTGGGAACCCCCTCCCCATTTGCATGGGACTCCTCGTGGTATTCCCCTGGTCCTCCGAGCTGAACTTTCCGAGAGAAAAACGAAGCCTCCATCTAGACGAGGTTTGTTTGCATCATCTACAGACTGTGGGACCAAGGGTCCCCTGGCCTAGTGTCCCACAAGAGCGTCCCTAACATCACTGTGGTGCAGCAAAGACAAAGTGCTAGAGATGAGGCCTCTGGGTGGCTTGAGAGGAGGTCTGCCCCCCACACCATGGCTGGACAGGTTAGGGCAGAGCAGGAGGGGATGGCGGGAGGTTGAGAAGGCCCAGAGCTGAGACAGGCTCCTGAAGCAAGAGGGACCATCTAAGCCAGAGCCACACAGCCCCACAAAGGGCCCACATCCCCCAGGGTCCAGCAGGAGGTGTCAAGTCCCCTAGAGTAGTCCCCACAGTCCAACAGACTCTGGACCCCAAGCCAGGCGCTTGGAAATGCCACATATCTGCATTTTTAGCCCCTCAGGCATGAGAAGCCCTGCCTTGTCATGAAAACTAAAACCAGATCATGGACCTCAAACACAGTCATTCGCTAGATACCCAGTCAAAGTAGTGTGGGTCTTTTAAAAAAATAAAGATGTACCACCAATCCCCCATTTTTCCTCCAGAATCTCCTAGACTGCATGTGTCCATTTAAAGCCACACAAATGTTTTTGAGAGCCAGCTGGGGTGAGAGCCAGTACCCTAACACAGAGTAGACAAAATATTCCAAAATGCAGGGGCTGTGAACCCGGGAAATGATACGGGCTTGGCCCCAGTGGTGAGCAATTTTCTCTCCACTGGGAAGGGAAGGGGCTCTGTAACTCTCCTGTGTGGCTGGGGCCCTGAGCACAGACCCCAGTGCAGGTTACCATCTGGTGTTTGCTGAGTGAATGTGCGACCCTTTGGCGCATGACAAACTGAGTCTGAACCCCTCACTTTGAAGGTGAGGAAACAGCTCAGGAAGGTCACTTTCATTGCCCAAGGTCACTATCATTCACTGGTTTACTAAACACAAAAATATTACGTAAGACTTTATCCACAAATGCATATATATGTGCAATCATATATACGTTGTAAATTGCACCACAAAAGAGATGAGCAGAACACATCATTATGAGGGCATCCTGAGACACTGGGAGCCGCTTCCTGGAGGAGGTGACGCTGGAGTTGATTCTTGAAGAATGAGTAGGAGTTTGCCAGGTTGTTAGGAGGGAGGAGAGGGTCAGGATACTCCAAGTGGCGGGAACAACACAAACCAAGGCGCAAGGTGAGCGACAGTGAGCCATGCGTGCAGACGCAGCCATGCCTCACTGCTGGAGTATATGGGTGGAGCTGGGCGGCAAAGGGTTCCGTGAGCCATGGGAGGGCATATAGCCCTCTCCTTGAGGCTTTGATAGACAACAACAGCAACAACTATAATAATAATCCACCACACCATTTACCAGCGCGCCATCTGATTCTAAGCCAGCCCTCACGTGATGGTTTTAACAGCCCTAGGTGATGGTGTCATTAGCCCTTCTAGCATTGAATGTGGATTCCTGTTGGCTTGGTTGGTGGTTTCCACGAAGCTAAGGTCACCGAGTGTGAACTTATGGGCAATGTTCAGAGGCCAAGGCCTCTGGTGTGGCCAGCGGAGGGCTGTGTGGTAGCCGAATATCTATAATGCCCTTGGCAAAGTGACTGTAATTATTACGTGCCCACGCGTGCTAGGGTTTGACACAGATGGTCTCACTGAGTCCTCACTGCAGCCCTGTGAGGTAGCAGCTCTCCTGTTACAAAGGGGTAAACTGAGGCTCACATGGGTTAAGTCACTTGTCCAAGGTCACACAGCTAGCAAGTGAGCGAGCTGGGATTCAAACCCAGGGCCATCTGAGCCCAAGAGTGCATCTTCCCCCACAGACTACTGTCTCCTGCGCCCAATTGCTCCTTCTCACAGAGGAAGACTGGACCTTTCCCTGGGACCCTGGTTCTCTCACGCTGGGGACCTGCCCTGTGCCAGGACCACGGCCACCCCCCGGCTTCCTCCTGCTTCAGGACTTCCACGCTGTGACCAAGCCAGAGACACACTAAGAAGAGCTCTCGCAAAGCTCTCGAGAGGTGAGTGGCGCCTCCTCTCCTTGCATGTTGTCCCCACCCTCTGCACCAGGACAGTCTTCCTGTATGGACATTGCACCCATTTTCCAGAGGCAAACACTGAGGTACAATGAAACAAGGGCTATCCCGGAACCCCAGTGCTTGCTGCGGGCAAACTGGGCTAAAAAGGATGCCAAGTGTGGCCCTAGGATGCAGCCAACTTCCTTTTGGGATGGAAGCACCATGGAATATGAGGAACCCCAAGACATGGTTTAATGACCAAGGGTCTCAACTCCCACGTTTTTAGGTGGGGGAACTCCCTGAAGCTGGGGCCACCAGCAGCACAGTTTGCCTGAATGTTAGCCCCCTGGGGGGCAGCAGAGAGAAGCCTGGGGGGAGGGTGGGCTCACTCACACGGTTAACCCACGTGTCAGGTCCCGTTTGGGGGATCAGGGACCAGCGATGCACAAGACGGCTGCCTAGAACCACTGATGTCACAGGCAAAAGCCTCAAGGTTAATTTGAGGGCCGTGGGAGCCACAGAAGAGCACAGAGCGGAAGAGAGACCTGCCAGATTTGTTGAATAGCACAGGACAGGAGGTATGAGGGGAGGAATGGATCAGAGGGTCAGCGGAGGCTGGGGGAGAGGCAGGAGGCGGCAGGCCAGGCCAGCCAGCGGCCAGGGAGAAAGGTCCCTTTAGGGACCAATGTGTGTGTGTAGGGGGTGGGGATATCAGTATCTGCACCCCTCCCTGCCCCTCCCTTCCCGGCTGGAGCTGCTGATGTCCCCTCACAGCGTTGCCCCAAGAAGCAACGCTGGGAGGAGGCTCAGCCACAGGGGAAACTGAGTCCGGGGAGTTCTTCACAGGGGCAGCTCTCACCTCAATGCGCTTAAAAACTTTACTTTTATCATGAACTATCTCGTATGACCATCAACTGCGGTACAGCCCATTGCCCAGCTGAAAGAATCACCCCTACTTCTGATGGCCCTGGGGCCCCTCCTGGTCACTGGCCCAGCCCACCCCGATCCCAGGGTAACCAGGATTCTGAACGCTGTGTTGATTATTCCTGTGCTTTCCGGGTACTATTTCCCCCCTTATAATGTACTGCTTAATTTTGCATGCTTTTGAACTTTATTTAAATGGGGCTGCACTTCGTGTGTTCTGCAACATGCTTTTTCACTCTTAGCTGTGTTGATCTGTGTACCTCATTCACTGGCAGGTCTGTGTAGCAAGGTTTCCCAACCTCACAGCACGATGGACATTTTGGACAAAATATGTATGTTGTCGGGGTGCAGAGGGGGCTGTCCTGTGCACTGTAGGATGTTTACCAGGACCCCTGCCCTCTATGCATTGGATGGAGATAGCACCCCCACCCCTAACTGTGAAAGCCAAAACTATCTCTGTACCTTGCCAAATGGCCACTGGAGGACAACTGCTGTCTTAATACCCACTGCATGAACATATTACCTTTACTTTTCTCCTGTTGAAGATTTGTTTCTAGTTTTTTTGCTATAACCTGCGATGCTGCTGTGGATGTTCTTAAGCACATGTCCTAATGTGCATGAGCAGGAACTTGGCTCACGTTTCTGCCGAGACACAGAAAGGCTGGGTCACACAGTGCACAAAGCTTCAGGGGGACCAGATGACGCCTAACTCCTTTCCGAAGAGGCGGTGCTACTTTGCACTCCCGCCAGCGGGGTATAGAGTGTGCCCTGCCTGTTCTTGCCAACGGCGGGTGGTGTCACTCTGGTGGGTGAACCTTCGTGCACTTTCCACGACCCACTTTGTCTCCCTTGGGACTCTCAGAGCACAAGAGAAGCCCAGGCCAAATTTCATACACGAGGTGCCCAGTAAAAAAAAAGAAACCGTACAGCCAGTTTACCCATTTGTGACTTATTTGAAATGTTTATATTTATTAGCCCAAATACAATGCAACATGATTTGTGCTATTCATAGGATAATTACAGGGTTTACTCCAGGTGTCAAGTTCCAGGCCCCAGACATGTGGTCTTGGAGGCCGGCTGTGTATCTCTGTGCCTCACTGTGCTGGGAGGGGTGAAGCCCAGGCGGCTCGCCCAGCCTGTGACGGGCACTTGGCATCTGCCTCCTCCCAGCTGTGCTGCTTGAGGACAAAGCCTTGATCTTCCCTGGAACCCTCAGGGCCCGACCCCAGTGGTGTTCTTTGGGTGTGTGCATCATACCATCTGCATCAGACACCTCTGGGCCACACCTGACCAGCCCCTTGCCCTGCATGACAAGCCTTGGGTGCTGCCCTAGGCCCAAGGTCCCCAACCAGCAATGCAGAGATCCGAGACCCATCTCTACTGCCTGAATATTTCATGTGCAGAGGGTGGAATGAAAGTCGACAAGACCTTAATTGTTAATGTGACCTCTGCTGTCTGCAGGCCCAGCCCTCCCAGCCCCCTCCAGCTTGCCCCTCCTGTTTGACACAACAACAGCAATAACAGTAATTCCTCCTGTGACCTGCTCTGGGTGAGGCTGGGCTGAAATGAAGTTGTCCCTCCCAGCCCCCAGGTGAGCCCACAGCTGGGCAGAGAGTTGTGACATAAGTAACTATTAGGTCCACCGGTTTTGTTCACTCCCTCGTGCCCTCCGGGCATAGAGCCTGAGGGCTCAGCAAGTGTTTGTTGAATGAATGTGTGATAAACAAGACAGCTGGGCTAAGTAGAAAAGCCCTCAACTTAAAGTCTGTGTCTCTGGTCTGACTGATGTTTGCCAGCCTAGTGGCCCTGGGCAAGTCATGTCCCTCTCTGAGCAGCTAGATCTCTGACTGTCTGCCCTGCTGGGTAAAGGCTGCAAGGCACGGGGTACCTGCGAGAGCCCAGACTGGATGAGTCTCTCAAGACTCTGACAGCCTAACTGCAAAGCTGAGCCTTCTCTCAAGAACAGGCTCAGACTGGCTACACCCAACTGCAGGACATGTACCTTTGCGTCCTGAGCGCTCAGAGCCCCTGCGAGTGAGTCGGGTTCCTAAGGAGACATCTGGTCGGGCTCCCCAAACATGGTCAGCCCAGTGGTTCTCAGCCCTGGGTACTCATCAGAATCGCCTAAAAGCTGGTAAAATGCAGGTGCTCAGGCCCTTCCCAGACCAATTTAATCAGAATCTGGAGAAGGTGAGTCTTACAGGCAGGGCTGAGAAGCACTGGGTTAGATGAGGCTTTTGTTCACTGGTGTCAGGCTGAGTTAGAAGAACCCACCCCCATTTCATGGGCGGGGGGGGGCACACCTCTCCCCAAGTGTCTGGATCTAGAGATCCTTCTCTAAGGTTATCCAAATTCCCCAAAGAATACTCAACTGTGTGGCCTAGGGTAGGGTAGGGGGCTAGGGATGTTGGAGCTCACCGCAGTGTTCACTTAACAACCCTATTTTTTTTACCTGTATCTAATGGGATAAAATGAAGGGAAGGGAAATATCAAAGATATAATACCAAAAAATTATCTGGGACTGATGGACACCATGAAAGAAAAAACCAGTTCTATGGAAAATAACCTCACAGAGTGATGTGATCGTAAATTCTTAACTGGCAGGTCATGGTGGGGAGTGATGCCGCGGGCTTAGAACTTCTTTAGTGCAAGGTGTTAAGCCAGCCCTGTCCATGGTTCTTGTGCATCCAGGTTCACTCACCTTTGAGATGTGAGAAGTAACACCCCTGAAGGGGGTATTAACCCCCAAGAGAGCACATCATCTGGTTAACTGTCCTGTAACCTGATCCCCACCTTGCTTTCTCCCATCTTCCTTCCTTCCTCTCCTTAATTTCCAAAGCATAAAAGAAGCTGCAGGGCTCCGGTTAGCTCAGCTGGTTAGAGAGCAGGCTCATAACACCAAGGTTGCCGGTTCGATCCCCACATGGGCCACGGAACTGCGCCCTCCACAACTAGATTGAAACAACTTGGAGCTGATGGGGCCTGGAAAAACACACTGTTCCCCAATTAAAAAATAATAATAATAAAGCTGCAAAACTGTTATTCTCTGGAGCATTTGCGATTTTGCTCCCTGGCATATGCGGTCAGTTTGGCTCAAATAAACTCATAAAAATTCTCTACAGGTGTGTACATTTCTTACATCAACAACACAAAGGGCCAGCATAGAAGTGAAAAAAAAGAGAGAGAAAGGGGGAAAAAAAGAACATTATACTAAGCTCTTCAGAATACTAGGATTGAGAAGATCCTAAAAACATCCAGAGAGAGAGAGAGAGAGAGAGAGAGAGAAAGGCCATACATATGTAAGGGATCAGGAAACAGTAACATGGACATTCTCAACAACCACTTCTAAAGCTGGAAAACTGTGAAGCAAGGCCTTCAACATTCTGATGGAAATTATTTCAGCACCTAGTCAATCAAATGTGAGGGTAGAGTAAGATATTTCATTTTCAGATACATATATATATATATATATATATATATATATATATATATATATATATATTTGGATGTCCTGTCTCTAAAATTAGGAATGAAACCAAAAAACAAGAAGACATGACAAAGAGGGAAGAGGGGACCCTGAGGTGACAGTGTGAGGGACGGCCGAGGCGGGAGGGCTTGGGGACCAGAAGCAATCAGTGCAGACTGGAACAGGGACAGAGGGCTCCGGGAGGAGCTGGCCAAGGAAGAAAAGGCAACTCCAGGACTGCCTGGGGGTTTGGCTGCCTTGAGAGGACTGTTAGAGCTGCCAGAGCATTTGGTGATGAATGAATGGTGGGCACAAAGAAAACCAAAGGAATCAAACAAGAAAGCAATTATTATTTCCCAGGTAAACCCAGAGATCCTACAAGGAAGGAAATACAGTCATAGGACATATGGTGGCCCAGGTGGCAGTCATGTTGCTATAGTCTATTATGTAAACAATATTGATTTAACCGAAATTGTCATATAGCCATACTGGGAGGATGGTGAGGAATAAGTGGGTTAAACCTCCCTGGTCTCTAAGAGAAAGGCGGTGCTAAGGCCTAAACTGGAAGGTCAGTAAAGAACAAGTAAGTGTGTTATTTGGAGACCTGGAGATAAGGCAGGAGACTAGGAAGCAGTTGCCTCTGAGAAGCAGGAATTGGGTGGCAACATGGGGCAGGAGCCTTTTTTTTTTTTTCATAAGAATAAGCCTTATAATTTTGATTTTTGAAACTGTGTGCATGCATTTTTAAATTAATATATATATTTTAAAGCCTGTCATTGGACTTCCCATTAGAAACCCTGAAAGCTAGAAGACCACAGATCCATAGTTGCCTTAAAAGTCTGAGGGAAAAGGACTCCTGCCTGACTTTCTGCCCACAGAGAGAATCGGGCAAGTATGGGACTGGATGGAATATAAGGATTTTCAGAAATGCGAGGACTCCTACCCGAGGGCCACCCAGTCTGTCCCCACATGTTCCATGGTCATTTCCAGTTTACAGGGCAGTCTGTGCACAGTCCCCTCCCTCTATCTGCCCGGCAGGCCTGCAAGGAGCAGGAATTATGCCTGTTGGATCACAGAAGCGGAGGTTCAAGGGTGTATTTGGGGATTCATGACGCATCGCTCCCATGGCTGGTGCACCCTACTATGAATACAGGTGAAGGACCTGCCCGAGGGCCAGGGAGAAGCAGC